CCTAACTCTGCTCAGGGTCACCTTCCCTCCCTGCCTGGCTCCTCCTCCCCCTTCCCCTTCCCCGCCCCCTCCGAGGCCCCTAACCTTGATCTTGACCCCAGGGAGTAGTGGCAGGGGTGGGAATTCTGCCTGGTCCTCACGTGGGGAGACACCCGAAGCTAAGGAACGCCTGTGACCGCCTGTGACCTCTGTCCTGGGCTGGGCTGCCTCACATGTCCCAGAGTGGGCAGCTTTTCCTCAGAGTCCCCTCTGTCCCTGTACATCTCCTCCCTACTCCCTGCTCCAGGGCCTCAGTCGGCCCGGGAGCCCTACCCACCCAGGCTGGCTAGACTCAGGGGAACAGCAGAAGAGGTGCGGGTGTCTGTCGGGGCCTGGGAAGGGTGGCGGTGGACATGATGGGGGCGGAGGAGCCCAGATGGAAGAGCCTCCTGCCCCAGTTCCACGCCAGCCCCAGACACAGCAAGCCAGGGTCTCCTAGCAACAGTGCAGTAGTGGGGTGGGAAACAATGACATCATAAATTATCCCCTGTCCCCTCCCTTCCATGGTTGAAAATAGCCTCCTCCTCCTCCTCCTCCTCTCTACCTGCTGCTCATTCAGGGTCCCCTGGACAAAGCTGGCTCCTCTAGACGCCCCTCGAGGTCAAGGTAACCATTCTCCGCCTTCTGTCGGGTTCCAGGGTCTCCCAGGGACTCTGCCGGAACTCACTCACTAGCGCGAGCGGTGGAGTGGGAAAGGCTGGCTTCCAAAGGGGCCCCGCCAGAAATCCTGGAGGACTATTCCTCCTGTTCCTCTTGGGGTTGCTGACGGGAAGGGGAGCCTCTCCTACTCAGAACACTCCGGGGCACTGACTTCTGTAAACAAAGGGTCTGAGCAGGGACATGGAGTCTTCAGAGGGGTGCCCGGCCCTCCCACCAGGCCAGAGCGGTCTGTTTCTCTCTGGGTAGCTGGGGTCCAGCCATATCCCTGGAGTAGCTAGAGCTGGGCACAGTTCTTTCCTTACCTCTCCACTCAGCCTGTCAAGCACAGGTCAAAGAACTGGTGCTACAGCAGTGCAGGCCTTGGTCAGACACTGGGAAGGACTTCCCAAGACAATAAGTAAGGCTGTAGAATTTCCTGCCCAGAGAGAGAAAAAAATCTGTCACGGAAACAGGAAACTGGGTCAGGAACTCCTGAATCTTAGCTCATTAATTCTTTCTTAGCCATAAACACATAAAGAGCACTTATCACAGAGCCTGATGCTGAGTAGGACTCCATTTTGGCCAGTTAAAAAATCATTTATCAATACGAATTTTATTGGAAGAATATGTGGAGAAAGGGATAAACCCCCAGAGGACTAGCTCCTGTCTTCCAGGAGCCCCATAGGGAAAACCCAGATATGAGGTCGAGGGAGTACAAGATGGCAGCCGATCGTCATGGCAACAGCAGAGGAAGGAGTTGGTAGGCTGTGGGGGCGGTGCTGGGAGCCAGCTGGTGCCAGATGGACCAGCCCAGCGGAAAGCAGCCCCAGCCCGGCGAAGCTCATGCCCTGCGCCCAGGGCTCTCCCTCCGTATGCCAGCTTCACCTGGTCCTCCCTGCCAGGACTAAGGCCCACTGCTCTCTGTGGGGGCGATGCCAGCACCTTCTGCTCTTCCCGATTCTCGCTTGTACCACAGGAGTGGCTGCTTGGAGACAAAAGACCCTCCTGGTCAGTCTCCCCGGCCCATGGCCCAGCAGGTGACAGAGTGAGCAGAAACGGGGCCCCGAGAGGGTCCCTGGCGTCGGGACCCGGGGGTCCACCTCACACACATCCGTGTTGTCACAACTCCATGACATGTGGCCCAGGTGCCCCAAAGACACGGTGGTGAGCGGGGCTGGTTATGGGCAGTTAGGAGACACAGGGATTCCCCGGGCCTCTCCTCCTCCCAGTACTGCCAGGTCCTCGTGCTGTGGCCAGCAGCTGACCCTTCCCGAGAAGGTGTTAAAAAGCCCTGCACAGCCACGCACCTGCTCCGAGACCCACCCACTGCAGCCACACGTCGCCCACACTCCCTGAACGCCCTTCATCACGGACCGCACCCAACGCCTCTGCTGCCATCTTAAGCCCACATTCCCACCCCGGGGATCATTCCTGATCTCTCACTCCTGCCCCAGAGCCCCGCACCGGTCCCTTGGCACTGAGCTGCAGCAGGGCAGCTGCATACCACCGCCCCGATCCTCGGGGTAAATCGGACCCCAAAGGCCACCCTGCTAGAAAGGGAAGGGAGCCAGAACGCGCAGCCTGACCAGCTTCTGGGACAGACAGAGCCCTCACTCAGCAACTCCGCGCAGGTGCACGTTGAGGCTGCAGCCATTCTGCTCTGCAATGTCCTGACCAAGCAGCTGTTGAAGGGCCGCGGGGGCTCGGCAGTGGGGGAGGTCAGAGAAATCCCTTGGGGGACAGAGTGGGCTGGAGACTGAAGTGGCCTCAGGACTCTGGTCAGCCTTGCCTCTCCACCACCCCTCCACAGCTGTCCCCGGAGCGGGGCTGGGGCAGGAGCTGGGAACCCTGGCAGAAGAGGGGCGAGCAGCGGAGGCTCAGGCTGGAGGCCCGAAGGTGCCCTGGGAGGGCGCTGTCTGAGCAGTGGAAGGAAGACCAGAGAGACCTGGCAGGACTGGGCCTGAGTGTGCGGCCTGCGACAGGAGGCTGTCCTGGAAATGGCTCCACACAGCCGCACCCGGACCTTGGCCAGGCCTCAGCACCTCTGCTTTACATCCAGACTGCCCTGCCTCCAACCTCTCTGCTCCAGCCCCAGGGGCCTCAGGAAGCTAAGCCCTCTCACCTGACAGGGCCACTGCCCGCCACGCACAGAGCGCTCTTTGTGCAGAGAGGCCCCCACTTCCATTCCAGCTCCTCGCCGCCTCTCTCTGAGGAACCCCTCACAGCTGCCCCTTTCTGTTTCTCTGCTCCAGCTGCCTGGCCTTGCAGACCTTGACCTCTTAAACTTCGTCCTTTTTTCAGGAGAGCTCAGAGACTAACTGGTTGCCCCACAAAGTCGGGGCCAGCATCCCTGTCCCTGTCCCAGGCCTTCACACTTTCCTGAGTTACCTGGAACCAGCTGGGAGCCAGGAAAATGTCTGCTGGATGCTGGGCTCAGTGGGCAGCTGGAGGTGGGGGTCCCCAGCCGTATCCTATGTCTAGGGTCTCTGGGGCTATCAGCCAGCTTCCCTAGCACCCCACCAGCAAACTAGCCTCCCTCGTGTAACATAACAGGCTCTTTTTTTTGTTTTGTTTTTGTTTTTTGAGGCAGGGTCTCGCCATGTAGCCCAGGCTGGCCTTGAATTTGAGGTGATCTTCCTGCCTCAGCCTCCCAAGTCCTGGGATTTTAGGTGTGCACCACCATGCCCGGCTTGATACTTTTTTTTTTTTGGAACAGGCTCTTAACCACGGAACTCCTTTGGAAGCACAGGCTAGATCCCAAAACATCTTCTTTCTCACCTCCTTGCCTTCACATACGCTGTCTCCTCTCCACCACACACCTCCTCAAATTCCTTAGACTGACAAACCCTTGCTTCCCTGTGTCACTTGTCCAGGAAGCCCTTCTCAGCTCCTAGGGTGGTCTGCAGGCCCCTCTGCAGGCCCCACCAGCATCCTGCGTGTCCCTGCATTCCGGCAGACGGCAGCTCCCAGAGCGGCTCTACACTCCACCCTCTCTTTCGCACAGCACCTGGCACAGAGGAGGCCTGAGTGCTTGCTGAATAAACGAGCTGAATGGAGGCAGAGGCCGGGGAAAAAGAGGGTGGGATGAAGGATGTGCCACAAAGGAGCAGGGACGACTTGGATGGACTTGGGACAGTGCCCTGGATTTGAACTGCAGGGCTAAGAGTCTGATGCCACTGACAGAGACGAGGAGCAGAAGCGTCAGCGCCAAAGCCCTGGACATGGCTCCCGCCTAAGTCTTGGTACTTCCACGCCACCTCTGCAGAGGCCAGAGCACAGGCGCGTTCCCAGTGCTCCTTGTGTCTAGGGCCTGGCCATGATCTTTCTAATATCTGATCTGGGAGCTAATGGCTGCAACTCCAGGTAGTAGTTGGGGTGGAAACTCAGTTTTAGATAGGTCAAGATTAAGGAAATGAGTGAGAGCTTGGAACTTCAGCAGACGGCTGAAGTGAGGAAAATGAAGACAGGAGAGGAAGAAAATGACAGAGTGCTCACAGTGGAAGCTTGAGGGACACTTGTAACTGTGGAACTGCTTGATGCAGAGAACTCAATGAGTGGAACCGAGTGGGAATAATCCAATATACAACAGAAGAGCCAAAGGCCAACGGGGAAGACTGGGAGGATATCAGAATGAAATTTTCCAGAGGTTAAGGAGGGCCCACCCTGAGGAAGGGTCGGTGCTGAGGAGGCCTGGGCTTTGAGAGGGTGCAGTTTCACTATTGCTATGAAGATGGAGGCCAGCCTGCTAGGCCGAGGAGAGGAAATGAAATGCTACCTCCAACACACAATGGCTTTTCGCTGGCCTGAGAGACCTTCAAATTGGCAGATGATCCTGGCTGCCCACAGTTCAACCTCCCTTCCTTGCTGGTACCCCCAGCTCTGATATCCCCAGTGCCTTCAACATTATCTAGTGCTTGCTCCAAGTCCTCCGGGACCTACATACAGTGCTGAGTCCTTTCGATTACCCTGCCTCACTGGTGAATCTCACATCTCTTCCTGGCCTACCCTCTTTCTTCTCGCCTTCTTCTCTCTCTCCTTGATTCCACTAGTAGGAAGATTCGACCATGCTCCTGATCAGCCAGAAAATCCTTCCTATGGTCTCACTGTCCATGTCCACCAACCAAGACCGGCTGTCAGCCCACACCTGCCAGGGGCGGCCATTTTATAGGCGCCAGTTACCTAAGATGGCGGCCTTCCTCCTCCCTCTGCTTCCGTTCCCACAGCTTTGCCTCCTACTCCTGCCTCTTTCTCTCTGAAGCCTGAGCCCAACAAGGTGGGGGGCCAGGCTGGGGAGCCAAGGCCGGAGGAAGCAAAACAAAAAAGGACAGAAAAGCCGGCCCCTTGGCATCTCTCTTTGGCATTTGAGTCCAGCCCAGGGAGGGAGAGCAGAAGCGAAGAAAGAAAGTAGTGTGAGTTTTTATTTCTGTCCTCTTCCTGCCACCTCTCCAGACCCCTCCCCCACACTTTGATGAAAACAAAATCTCTCCCCTTTTCTCTCTTCTCTAACCACCCCCCCTTTCCTGGCTTGTACCATGAGCCTCCTGGAATGCAAATGAATCGTATTATGCAAATATATGCAAATCAGGTCTAACGAGCGGAAGGAGGGGGCAGAATGCTTAATGAGTAATGGTGGAGGGTGCAGATGGAGGGTGTTAAGAATGGACCCCTCCTCTTCTCCATTCCCACAACTTGGAGGTTTGTTGGGGATGATGGGGTAACCCTCACTTCTGGGAAAGAGTAAAAGGTCATGGCCCAGGGCTTGGCTGAGAAGACCTAGGATGGCCGTGACCATGGGTGAGAGGCAGGAGGGCTTGGGCAGAGTAGGGTTAAGTTCATGGGAAGGGTACTCACTTGCACCTTGCCCAGACCCTGGGTACCCCAGCCTCCCTGCCTCTATGGCCTACCAATGCCGGAACCTTCTTCAGCTCCGGTGCTAACGAGGGTGATGCTTGTGCACTCCATGGCTGTGCATCAGAATGAGGATTCCCAGGGGAAGGTTCTCAGCCAGACCCAGGTTTTTCCTGGAGGTGGGGGTGAAAGCTGTCTTTCTCTCTGAGCTTTGGGGGGCTGGGGTGGTTGCCATGGAAACATAGCACGGAACACCCACCTCCCCAACATCCAGCCCCAGAGGACCTAGGAGATGGAGGGTTAGATAATGGATCGACACCCCCCGATGCCCTCACCACCTGGCACTGCCAGCCAGAGACGGCGGCATCAAATCCACCCGAGAGAGAATGGCCTCTTTGTTCCTAGGCTCACGGTGTTGGGGGAGCAGGCATGGGCTCACAGAAGGGCCTTTCCCAGGCCTCGTTCCAGTTTGCGTGACTCCTGCTGGCCTCTGGAGACTCCTTGTGGCCATCCACTGGCTTCTGTGCCCTGGCAGATGGTGGTTCCTCGCCTTTTGTCTCGTGGCTTGCCAGCTATGGCTAGGTGTGCCTACCCTGTGCTTTTCCGGGAGGCCTTCCCTTCAGGCTGGGGACAGCAGTCAGTTTACCTCTTTCTGGCTTTCATGGACACTGCACATGCCCGGACGTGCATCCTGCCTTTTTGTGTGAGAGAAACCTGTGAACTACCCTACCACACCACGCTTGCTCTGCCTAACCCAGGGGAGCCCCAAAGGAGGCAGCAGATGTATAGAGGGGCCAGGCGAGTCTGCGTCTTGACTCCACAAAGTGGCTGTGCAGCCTGGATCACCCCTCTTCACTCCTCTGGGATGTGTAAGAAGGCACAGGGCTCTCAGCAGCTTTCCCAAGTCTCACAGTGCCTTAGGCTGACTCCTCCCAATATCCCTCTCCCACCCTTTCTCCTCCTGGAGAAGCCCCTGTCTTTCTGAGTCCCCACGACGGACAAATCTAATGTCCTGCAGGCAGGAATGCCAAAGGCAAGCAAATCCTCAGAGTCAGGAATTGTGGCGCTCTGATAACCGCTGCTAGCCACAGGAAGACCCTCCCTCCTCATCCTCCCAGCGGGGGCTGCGCCTCACTCACCGCGGGAGCTGTCCGTGGTGCTGGACGTGGCTCTGTCATCCACAGCAAGGAGAGAGGGCGGGAGGGTGGTGGGGCACCCACCCGCCCCAGTTCAGGTCAGAAACTAAAAGGAAGAGAGCAGAAACGTTTGGATACAGTAAGGAAATGGGAAATGTACCCCAGCAGAAAGTCTCCTCCCCGAAGACGTCCAATTGCCGGTACTATCAAGAAGGCTGGACAGCGGCAGAATCAAGGAACCACTGAACCTCCCAGGCCTTTATCATGAATTGAGGTGCCCGGATTGGTCCACCCTCCTCTAGATCCCAGCGGGAAATCCAGGAGATGGAGTCGGCGCTTTTTGCCCTTAGGAAACCAGCTCAGGTTCAGGAGAGAGGCAGAGAGAGACAGAGAGAGACAAACACAGAGAGACCTCTAAGTTTTAAGACTCCTACAAAGACTTTTCAGCAATAAAGATGAGAGACACCACCCTGCCTGCATTGTAGATATTAGGTACTTAGGTAGAAAACAGGCAGGGACGGACCAAGGTGTAGGTGTGTGTGTGTGTGTGTGT